CTTGAATATAAATGTACAAAAACAAAAAATCTTATACTGTTGAATAGGGAATTAAAAACCCTTTAAAATGAGGTATCACACGCTACCCCTTTCTATTTAAAAAAATTAAAGTGGTGACTTTTACTCCGAAGGGGTTGAAGGGGGGAGATACATAATTTTGTTTAGAAAATGTCATTTTAGAAATAAAAATCGACCTGTTCAAGGATTTTCCTCAAAACGTAATAATAAAGCCAATAATTAATATATTCCACAAATATTGTCCACCCTGTACAATGATCCAATGTCAGAGAAACTTGGGGTATTTCTATCACTTTACCCGCAGTCAGCGATCATAGCACTGCACAAATTTTAGTACTCCACAAACTGCTTTGAAGTGAACTTCGCTTGTTGTTTAACATGGCGAAAGTTATGTAGTTATCGGTAATATCTTACAAATAAAATGCTCAGTTTTTGCTAGAAAGTACCTAAAAATAAATGGTATTCAATTAATTCAGAAAATGCAATAAAACGAATTCTAAAATAAAATAAAACAGTTCTCTAAAATGAGATTGAGATAATTTCTTCTAAACACGGTTACGCGTCTGCCACGATAGTGGGATTCAATGCTATTGTTTTTAATTTTTTCCTAAAATATGTATACCCAAAAAAACGTATTTTTTATATAACTCACTTATGAGGAAGGGGAGTTGTTGTTTTTATTTACTTATTTATATATTTTTTTAATTTTATATTTTTGTAAATATTTAAATATTGTAGTTTTTTTTAATACCAGCAAATAAAAATGTTCAGACATTTTTCACAAATTCTCTTTCGCTTACTGTGTTACGCATTTAAATTATGTTTTAAAATAGCTTTTTCAAATATGACATGCAGAAAATGAGCACACTGAAACTTTTAGCCATTGTTGCATTTGTAAATAAAAAAAAAAAAAATTGCATGAATTATTTTTGTCAACTTCAAATTCAAAATATGATTGAAATGGCATATGTTTGAAAGTAGTAATAATTGAGTTTCTAGTCAAATTTCTAATTCCAATGCTTCATGTTAATAGATTTCATCCATTAAATGTCAGCAGAATAAAAGATACTCGTGTTTTTCTCGCTCAGGGAGTGTCAATACTAGTGGCGGCTCGTGATAATATGAGATGGTAGTGCCAGATTTTTAACAAATGTGAAAACCCCGCCGGAAGCGCCCTGTCGGAGACCCCCCACCAGAGGTGAAAGATTTTTTGGGGTGCCACGCCCAAATTTTTAACCAAAAGTCGTTTAAAAAACTGCCTTTGAGCAAAAATTTATCACGGTATTGTCAAAATAGATATAAAATTTTAATTAAAAAAATAAATTAATGACTGTAACTTTTATATCTATTATATGACTATGCCACGAAACGGTCAGGGTATGTCTTATCCTAAACTTTGCCAATAAATTACTTAAAACTTATCAAATAATTCTGTAAAATTAATTAAAAATTATAAATTAACTTAACCCCAGTAATTTATGATGAAAGTCCTTGCATTTTGTTATTACCATAAAGAGTCTTTAGGTAAATATACCAAAAAAATCACAAAAATAAAACTATACCTATTTACAGTATTTACACACGCGCACAAAGTTGCTTATATAGTAGTTTTTAAGTTTCCGATAAATGAAAACCATTCTTCTTTCTTTTTTGGTTGCAAAGTTTTCAATTACTTATTAAAATTTTCAATTCCATTTACAAAATATTTTTCTGCGGATAACATACCTAAAGCACTTAATCTTTCTTCCTTCATTGTTTTTCTGAGGAATCTTTTAATCCGTTTAAGGAGGTCCTTTCGCCACCAATGTTAAATAAAAAATATCAGATTATGACTAAAATTAATTTTTTTCTAATAGTAGATGTCCTTATTTATCTAATAGTGAACTTTTAACTATACCTTACCGTGCAAATTTTTGAGAATTTTATTTTTAAAAATGTGTGTTTGTACAGTGTCTTATGAGAAAGTAAGACTTCAACAACAATTTTCGAATTATAATTAATTTTACTATTATTTATTGATTAGATGGAGTAAAAAACTAAAAATAAGGTTTTTGAAATATTAAGGTTTTGTTTTTTACAATAAAATATATAGGTTACCTTGGAATTTATTGAGAAATTAATGTTAAAAAATCACAAAAAATTTTCAACTAGGTTACTTGAAAATTTTTTGTGATTTTTTAATATTAATTTCTCAATAAGTTCCACGGTTTACTATATATATTTTATTATATAAAACAAAATCTAAATATTTCAAAAACCTTATTTTTAGTTTTTTTCTACTCCATCTAATGAATAAATAATAGTATGATTCGAGAATTGTTGTTGAGGACTTACTTTCTCGTGAGGCACTGTACAAATATTCACATTTAAAAAAAAAAAATTCTCAAAAATTTGCAAGGTCAGGTATAGTTAAAATTCAGTATTAGATAAATAAGGATTTCAACTATTAGAAAAAAAATAATTTTAGTCATAATCTAATAACTTTTTTTTTAACATTTGAGGCGAGAGGTGTGGCGAAAGGACCTCCTTAAGTATTGAAATACAGTGCTCTGCTTCAGATGTTGACATATGTATTGTCATCAAAATACCTAAAAGTTTAGGAGTTTCCTGAAATGTACAATTTAAACCTTCCTCATTTAATAAAATTGACAGCGGGAGAGCTCCGGAGGTGGTACTTAATTCGTCTCTCTGATACAGTACTTGTAATTCATTTTTAAGCATATGTTTGTCTAAAAATGAAAATTGTATACTAGTCTAATCAACAAGTTCAAAAGGGTGTATTCGATTCGGAATAATGTCTAGATCAATGTGTGAAGAAAAATTTTGCAGTGCATAAAAAATTGCAAAAGTTATAAACAATTAAACACCTCAAAAACATGGTGTTTGGTTTTTCGCCTATAGTTTGTAAACTATAAATATTTTTGGATTTTTCAAAAAAGATCCTTAAAGAGGAGGAAATTTGCTATAAATAAGTTCCGACTCCCGGAACTGTACCTCCATTATTTATAATTTTAATTTAACGCTCACAGTAGCCTTCCGCGCGCCATTTTTAGGTTGCGCGCACGGCGTCGAAACCGAGTACGTTACATAAAATAATTTTTTTAAGTTAATAAAATTAAATTCAAAAATTTAAAAAAATTACGGTGTATTCTAAACACTTGGAAGAATTCTTTCTCGTTGGAATTTTTCATAAAAATTAATTTTCCAACAAAGTAGGTTATTGTTAATTAACAACATTTTTAGAATTTCTCTCATCATTACAAATTGATAAAAATATTAAATAATTACCGTAAATTTTTTTTGCTTCGTGGAGCTCTTTTTATATACATATAAAACAAAATAGCTTCATAAACGTTTAAAAAATATTAATACTTTGTTTATAATAATTTTTTAAAGTTTACAAAAACAGAAAAGTCACAGTGGTGCTATAAAAAAATTTCTTTTCCAATTTATTATAATATTACTGTTTTAATGTGGAGAAAAGACATTTATTAATTAAAAAAAATGTTTTTCCTCCATTTGTTTATAAATATTTTGCACACCATTTAATCCACCACTCATTACAGACGCGCCGTCATAGCTTTGAGAAATTAATTTATTTGGACTATATTTTAATAATGGATGTAAAACATTTAAAATGCATTCAACGATTGATTTGGCGTCGTGTCCATCGATCATGTAAAACCTCCAAAATCTCTCAACTGGTCGTCCTTTACACAAATATCTAAAAACTATAACTAATTGAAATTCACAAGCAACGTCCGTCGTTTCATCGGCAATCACTGCAACAAAAGGAGCATTTTCTATTTCTTTCCTAACTTCTTCGTGATAAACATCTAACATGCACTCAAGAAGTTCATTTTGGGTTGTTTTTGAGGCACTAAAAGAGTTTTTTAAGACGCCAATTTTATTCATTGTCACAATAAATTAAAAACTATGAAATAAGATATTTAAACAAGTTATAAAAAACAAAAACATACATTAACGTCACTAATACTTCGTAACGTAACGAAAAACTTAAAAGCGTGTAAAGAAATTCGGTTAATTCAGTCAACAATCGACATTGAGAAACCGCGATTATCTGAACAGCTATCGGCGCTGTGCCTGACACGAATATTCCTTGATTTTACTGTTTAAATACATGTAAAATGTCCCCATCTCTGTTGCTCACATAAGCTGCTGGTAAAATGTCTCTCTCTCTCTTCCCTAGTGCCAGCTGAGAAATGGCTCCGGTACGCGGAAAGAACTTGGAGATTTATACAGCGCAAGGTTGCCACTTTTCAAATAATTTTTGAATATAAAAAGAAATGCATAAAATAAAATAAAAATATAATAAGATGTTTTAAAAATAAAAAATATATTTTTGCATCAAAAATAAGGTAGTGCCATGGCACAGTGCCACTACCTCACGAGCCGCCACTGGTCAATACTGATTGTCATTCGACATTAATTTTGTCGTTCGAAATTTTTCTAATTAAAATCTTTTGTTCGAACTTATTTCACTTGCAAGTAAACTAGGGCTTAATGATAAATAAATGTATTAGTCTAGTAGTGTTTCGTCGTTGATTGGACTATTTGTTAAATCTAGACATATATAAGGCAAACAATCACGAATTTATTCACAAATTTAAAATAATTTTTATCGTCAAGAAATTCATGAATTTTTTGCTTTTTTGTTAATTCATGAAGACATTGGATAGATTAAAGTACCCACTCCCCTTGATATATGTATGGATTGATTTGAAACGTTTACCTCTAAGGGTGAAAACAAACTGGAAAAAATTGGAAAATCGATAAAATTTTGTTCCGAGCAGGATTCGATTTTTGGATTTTCCATTTTTCCAACAATTCTCCAGTCACTTTTTCTGTCATCTAAACATCTCTCAAATATTGCAGAATCGAAAATTTTAATGAACGTTTTTGCAACTGTATATTGTTCGTTCAATTTAAAATATTTGATCGTTTTTGTTTCATTTTACTAGGTGTACTGTTACCAGTTGTGGAAAAGCTTTTACCGCCAGTCATCACCTGAAAACTCACGTTAGGATTCACACGGGCGAAAAACCTTACGCTTGCAATGAAAGTATTGAATGTAATAGAGCCTTTTCCACTCAACATAGTCTAAAGTCGCACATAAAAACACATCAAAGACATGAAAAGTACTATAATCCTGAAATAACTGCCAAACTTGAAACGTCTAGTCAAATTAAGTCCGAAGGTACGATAACGGTACCAATCGAGAATTCGGAAAATCGTAAGTATCAAATACATAATAATTTCTAGATTTTTAGACCTTCCTGATTAGAAATGTTTAATGCCAGTGTAATCAACAATCAGTAATGGTAATCTGATGCGACTCTTTTGATCTCTAATAATGGATTTTTTTTACTACTAACATGAGAAATCACCATTATTTACTCCATTCCTCTAATGAGAAGTAATATTTCTCACCCTAGGTAAATAATGATAATAAAAAAAAACCTAGGTAAATAATGAAACTAAATTTCATTAGTTTCATTTTGTTAATTTGACAACTAAACTCCCAGACTACTTGATATTTTGAAATATTTGAAAAATAAGTAGGAAATAACTAAAGCTGGGTTTATCAAATCTAATCAAATCAAATATGATAATATATATCAGTGTAAACAGTAATAGTACATTATATACCTAGGGTGAGAAGTGAGCTATTATTTACCGAGCACTTTTATATCCTGAGGCGCGTAGCGCCGAGGGATATAATGTGCGAGGTAAATAATAGCTTTCTCAGCCGAGGTATATATAGAATTTTTTTTACTACTAACATTAATGTATTAGTAATTTTAATTTTGACATAAGTAATTTCCTAACAATTTGTTAAATATTTCGAAATATCAAGCAGACTGGAGCGTGTTTCTAATCAGACTGGCTTTATTTATGTAAAAATTTGGCATGTGTCAAATTTTGGTATGATTCTAGGAAATATCCCATTGCATTTTTGATATTTTAATGACATGGATTTATTGTTATTAATTAATAATTTTTAAAGCCGGTGTTGAATTTCCTAGTTAATATATATTTTTACTGTTTACACTGATATATATTATCATATTTGATTTGATTAGATTTGATAAACCCAGCTTTAGTTATTTCCTACTTATTTTTCAAATATTTCAAAATATCAAGTAGTCTGGGAGTTTAGTTGTCAAATTAACAAAATGAAACTAATGAAATTTAGTTTCATTATTTACCTAGGTTTTTTTTTTATTATCATTATTTACCTAGGGAGAGAAATATTACTTCTCATTAGAGGAATGGAGTAAATAATGGTGATTTCTCATGTTAGTAGTAAAAAAAAATATATATTAACTAGGAAATTCAACACCGGCTTTAAAAATTATTAATTAATACCAATAAATCCATGTCATTAAAATATCAAAAATGCAATGGGATATTTCCTAGAATCATACCAAAATTTGACACATGCCAAATTTTTACATAAATAAAGCCAGTCTGATTAGAAACACGCTCCAGTCTGCTTGATATTTCGAAATATTTAACAAATTGTTAGGAAATTACTTATAAATTAAAATTGCTAATACATTAATGTTAGTAGTAAAAAAAATTTTATATATACCTCGGCTGAGAAAGCTATTATTTACCTCGCACATTATATCCCTCGGCGCTACGCGCCTCAGGATATAAAAGTGCTCGGTAAATAATAGCTCACTTCTCACCCTAGGTATATAATGTACTATTATTTGTTGCACTAGTGTAACACTAGACATGCATTCGAACTATCATACTTGTTAAAAGTATATGCTACACTCCAGTATGTGCCAAATATTTGAAACCACACTGGACAAATTAAATGGGGTTAGTGCAGAAAACTTACACCTAGTACAACAAATACAGTTCATCAAATTTCTAGAGGTGTTCGACGCCCAGACAGAGAACGCGCTACGTGTGACTAAGATAGCTATTGTACAGTCTGCTAAACAAGTTATTTTAAATAGTTTTTAATATTTTTAGGTAATTAAATTTTAAAAGTGTGGAATAGTTTAGGGATTAAATTGGTCTGATTGGACTTTCTTAGAACGTTTTTAAAAGCAGCTAAAGATAGTATGTAGAATTGAAAATAATTATTATGCCATAAAAGGTGTTTTGGAATTCCTTTAACCTTTTGAAATTGAGTCAGAAAATATAAATTTTATAGGATAGCGGAAAATACCTATAATTTTTTTGTAGGCCTTTGTAAATCGTGGAAATAGTTTATATTTTATTTCTACCTTATTAAGGAAAATGGTACCTATTATTAATAACGGTTGTTTCTGAAACATTACTAAAATTTTCGAAATTTTGTTTTTCTACAAAATAATAAACTATACTATTTAGAAAAAAATTTATTTCTCTTATAATTTTATAAAAAATAACACGGGAATATTTACATTTCTTGATCTATTAAACAAAACGATAAATTATCTCGACGAATGACACCATGTTCTAGTACATTTTTGTTGGTGGTTTCATGGGTTTCATATCAATTTTTTGTAATTGTAGTTTACACGTACATATACCTCTTAACACTTGTTTGCTTTATTAAAAAAGTGTGTTGTTGTGATTTACGTCGAAATAAGTCAAAAACAACTTGAAACCCCATATAAAATCAAAAAGGAGAAACGGAAAAAAATTGAGCCTGTAAATGAACACAACTCAGAAACAAAAATAGCTATCTAATAATAAAAAAAAATAAAATTTGATTCTTGTGCAGCTTCATCTATATCATTAACTGTTTTTCGTTTTTTAGTGGTTTTTCTTGGTGATGAAAATTCCGATATCTCACGGTTATCGATTCTTTTTTTCTCTCCAGAAATGCGGACGACAGTGTTTTTAGATACTCCTGTGGCTGCAGCAACACGATCATTTACATTTTTAAATGGTATTGAAGGTGAATTAAAGTTTCCTTCTCTTCTCATAAACTCTATAACATTGGCTATTATTTCGCGAGATTGACTGTTAATCACGCGGCCTCTTAATTTGCTATTAAACTCCATACTTAGGTTCTATTAAACTGTAATGAGCAAAAAACACAAACGAAAATAAAAGAAATGTTTTAGCGAAATTTACATCTGACATTTACGTCTGAATGAAATAGTGAAATACTTGATGCGCAGAGTGTACTTTCATTGCGTAAATCCGTCGGGATGCCTGTCAGTAGTGCTTTCTCTGTCTAGCCGTCGAAAGCCTCTAGAAATTTGATGAACTGTAAAATTTACTATAAGGGTATAAATTTTAGTTGACACTTGACATTTTTAGATTGTAAAATATTTTTTTTAAATCTACTTGATTATGTTTGGTTAGTTGAACCATTGTCTGCAGCAACGGGCGTATGAGTGAGATACCTTTATACAGGCAAAGGTTAAACTCTGGTTAAATATATTAGACCAGAGTCGATAATTTTTGAAACAAAAAAAAAATAATAGTAGGATGAAACCCGTTAAAAAAGGACGAGAATATAACAAAAATGAAAGGAAAAATAATTTACGGGTGATCTGAGGCCGGGAAGTGGAAGGGGGTGAGTTTTTAAGGGTAAAAAACAATGTATCTAGATTTCCGGCAAAACTACAAGTATTATGGAAAAAAATTAAATTACAAAGTTGTAGGTAATAAAGAGACCTACAACTTTTGTGTTTACACTTTTTTCACATAACCTCAAAATTTATGTGAAAAATTCGAAATTTGGTGAAAACTTACCTTTTTATGTCCTAAAGACACTGTAATTTTTTTGATTTGAAATATTTATTTTTTCACCTTATTTTGACTTAATATCGAAAAAACACCCTAATTTTCAATCGAAAATTCTCGCATCAAAATATCAGCTTTTTAAAAAAAGTCGGGGAGTTTTTTGTTCGTTGAAATCTCTTCTTTCTGATAATGTATAAAAATATATACATAACTATGGTAAATGTTCTCAGAAAATGCAAAGAAAAGAAAAAAAACTCGAATCTGAAATTTTTTTTTAATCACTATGTACAATTTTGAGCTATTTAGTAAAATTGACACTTTAATTACTTGAAAAACGTCAGATTCTATGTTACATTGAAAAACAAAAAAATTACAAATCCATAAATCATAAAAATTGCAAGAAACATGCGAAAATAGTTGTTCTAAATATTAAAGATAGGATTTAAAGGGGGGAGTTCAATTAAAAAATGTGATTGCTGCAATTTTTTTTTTTAGTCAAAAAGTTGATTTATTAAATTCTAATTACATTTATGTCATAGAAAATCTCATAATATATGAATAGAAATGTAAATCGTACTATTGAATTTAGATACTTTATACTGATTATTATTCATAATAATATTTTAAAATGCATTAATCTTCTTATTTATAAATTTTATCTTGAACCCTAATCACTTATCCATTACTTTTTGTCTCTCCGGTATCATTTTTTCATCGTTAGATTCGACAAACCTTCCCGATTCTAGTAGATCTTCGAAATCGACCATCACCGTCTCCGTATCCAATATTATTTTTAGTCTGAATTGGTCCTTCATCCACAATTTCATCTGAATCACTAACTTCCTCGTAGGTTTTTTCTTCCACATTGATGCATTTTTCAGAACCATTACAATTTGAGCATAAATTTGTGCATTTTAAGCCATGTTTTCGGCAGCCACATTTTAAACTGTTACATCCAGTTTCACAGCTGCAGCAAATAGTTTTGAGCAATATTTCCGGAATTAACTCCTTCTCTATAAATTTGGGCATAATCCCACGTCGATGTTGCTTCCAGCCTCAATCTGTTGCTGTCAGTTCGTTACCTAGCCATGTTTGAAGTTGATAATATGCCCTGTAACAATGTTGTTCTGCTGCACCTTCTGTGGGTGGAAGATTTGCCAATATGAAAGATGATTTAATTTTGGCCAATTGATATTTTTGAAATCTTAATTGATTCAGTGTTATATTATCATTTTTACATTTATAAATAAATTTGATTAATTGTAATCCATTTTTTCGATATCTTTTTTGTTTGCATCTTTTTTATAAAAATTATTGGCCAAATTTGACACATTTTTATCGTCTAATAATGAATTTACAATACTCTTCTTTCCTTTTCCAGCAAATCCAGATTTTGTAACGCAACCAGAAAAACAATGCAGAAATGCAACGATATTTTTGAAGGATTCATATTTGAAACTATTAGACGTGAAAAATAGATCTTTTACATTTCCAGAACCTGGTTTATATCTTGACCCACAACAATGACAGTTTTATTGGTATCTCTGGCAATTTCTATCGAAGTTTTAATAATGTCTGCATCTTTTTCTGCTTGTTTACAGGAAAATCCTTGTGACTGTAATCTTTTCATTAACGTTTTTATTATTTTGTCCTTGTTTTTCTCGTTAGATAAAATTTTTTTTTGCAGAAATGGTATTTTTGTATGGTTTTGATAATCAAACTCTGGAATATTGTCTGAGGTTTTTCTACGACTACGTTCTCCTTTTTTAGTTGAAGTAGCTGCTGGTACTGTTGTTATAGTAACTGATTTTTTAATTTCGGGGTACCCATCAAAAACGATATAGCTGCTTGCTGCGTAATGTTTTTCTACATAGCGAAAATATTTATTCATGGTCTCTTCCACCGTTTCATTTTTCTGCCAAATTACTTTGTGCAGTAAAAATCAACCGTCGTTATTTGGTTGTTAATTATAGTAGTATATTTCGATTTGTATTTTTTAATTTTTTGTTTATCAATGGTACATAGAATCTTACGTTTTTCAAGTAATTAAAGTGTAAATTTTACTAAATAGCTCAAAATTGTATATAGTGATTAAAAAAAAAATTCGGATTCGAGTTTTTTTCTTTTCTTTGCATTTTCTGAGAACATTTACCATAGTTATGTATATATTTTTTTACATTATCAGAAAGAAGAGATTTCAACGAACAAAAAACTCCCCGACTTTTTTTAAAAAGCTGATATTTTGACGTGAGAATTTTCGATTGAAAATTAGGGTGTTTTTTTCGATATTAAGTCAAAATAAGGTGAAAAAATAAATATTTCAAATCAAAAAAATTACAGTGTCTTTAAGACATAAAAAGGTAAGTTTTCACCAAATTTCGAGAAAAAATTTTTTTTTGCTTAAGATAAAAATAAAAAACCAAAAACTTGATTATTTGAATTTTTCACATACATTTTTAGGTTATGTGAAAAAAGTGTAATGACAAAAGTTGTAGGTCTCGTTATTATCTACAACTTTGTCATTTAATTTTTTTCCATAGGACTTGTAGTTTTACCGGAAATCGAGATACACCGTTTTTTACCTTTAAATACTCACCCCCATCCACTTCCCGACCTCAGATCGCCCGTAAATTATTTTTCCTTTCCTTTTTATTATATTCTTGTCCTTTTTTAACGGGTTTCATCCTATTTTTTTCACTTTTTACCATTTTCAAAATTATCGACCCTGGTCTATATGTACAAATTTTGAAAAATAAAATCGCTTATACCGACAAACTTTGAAAGTTGGTAGGGGATATCAAAATAAATATTTTTAATTTATAAACAGATGTCTTAAAACGCTTAGTTTCAAAAATACGTTGTTTTTTTTATACAAAAATAATAACACATACTTGATATTTGCAATTTCTATCATTATTTTGAATAAAGTAATTAAAATACAACTTTTTTGTTCGTTGATATTTTTGCGTATCTTACTTGGTTTTCGTGAAAAAAAAAAAAATAACATCCAAACTTTTGCACATAATTAAAAATACAACTCAAAATAGAAACGAAGCGAGATACAAAAACATATGAACGAAACAAAAAACTTGTATTTTTAGTTGCACTATCAAAAACAATTTTTTTAAAAATATACAGGGTGATATTCTTTTTCGGTAAAAAGTAATACATTTGCCCGTGGGCACGCCTATCTTACCTTGGTTGGGTTTTAGGCCTGCTGCCCTCCCGCCATGTAACCATTGTTCTTGCAAGATCTGGACCTTTTTTGTCAAACCACATACATACTGTAGCGGTGGCCGCCTTGGCATGATGGAGGTTCACCTGGAGAACCCTGATCGATCTGCTCAATTCTGTGTGCCTTCTTAGAGGCCTCTCCAATTTCCATAGGTACAGTCACCTCTTGGGCTACTTGCCTCTTGAGGAGACTAACCCCACTGCAGGAAGACTCTACCTTGTCGTCCTCTACCAAGGTTTCTTCCTCTGAAGAGGACTCATTGGTGTCCTCTTGCCTGCTGTGGGAAGACTTTCACCCCGTCGTCCTCTGCCAGGGTTTCTTCCTCTGTAGAGGACTCTTTCGTTTCCTCTTCCCTACTTGTGCCTGGGTTATTCACCTTTTCGGCGGGTTCTTGGTCATGTCTTCCTTTGACTCTGAATTTAATACTCCCTAGGTCATAGTAGGGGGACATGTCCAGCTTTTTTTAGCTCCTCTAAGGATTCAGGATACATCGAAAAAGCCCAAGTTTGACCTTTTGCCGATGGGGTTTTACCCCACACCGTCCAAAAGTGTGTATTTAGCACATGGTTGGCTATTTTTAGCCTTTTGAGGATTTTATCCCCTTCGGGCCTTTCGTCGGGGACGAATGTTGTGCAGGCTAGTGGCCTAGGGATATCGTTACCCTTCAACGCTTTCAGGTTTGCCCCTTCCCAAGGTTGGATGGTTGTGACGATGTCCCGCAACCAGTCTGCACTGGTTCGGTCCGCGCAAGTCATGATCAGGTAACCTGGCTTGTGGCTGCACGTGGCGAACCTTCCCAGACAGCACACCAAATCCTTTGGATATCTACTGAACATCCCAATATCCACTAAATGTCCAGTCCATGGTGGATATCTATTTTATATCCATGAGATGTAATTTATAGACATGCAAATGTCCACAAATAATAGTAATTATATAGCAAATTATTAAAAAATTACGCCATTGTGCCGCCATTGTGGTTAATAGTACCGTTCAGATATTTAAAATTAATTTTTTTAAGGTTTATTCAATATCCCATGGACATCCACTAAATAATCAAAGTCTAGGCGCGAACGCAATCCATCGTGGATATCCACTAGATGTAATTTTTAATTTTTCTTACTAAGTATAGATGGCGGAACCACTTTCGCATCTACTCATGCTTAACCCGCCGTAATTGAGTTCGATCGAAATTTGTTTTCCAATCAGACTCCATTTGAGACTGGAGTCGAGAATTTCCATTTATTGCTGAAGAGTCCTAATAAGGATAACTTTCTCCTTAGTGGGCAAAATCAAAGGCAGAGTGTTGAAAATATTTTGAGTGTTGAAAATATTTTTTCTCTGCTATTTTTTTTTTCGACGTTATTCAATAAACATTGGTTTCTTTTATGAACCTCTACTAAAGATACCCATAAAATATTTTGCTGAATATCCGAATTCTACTATATCCTGGGATATAGACGGACATTTGGTTGGATATCCATATTGGATATCCACAAAATATATTCTGTGGATATCTCTGGGATTTCTTGTATTGTCTGGAAGATACCCATTAGATATTTTGCTGGATAATCCATAGGATATCTTCTATATTCTGGATATAGACGGACATTTGGATATCCATATTAGATCCACGGAATATTTCTGATATCCTGTGGATATATTGGATATCCACAAACGATATTCTGTGGATATCTTTGAGATTTGGTGTGTTGTCTAGGTTACCTGTGTTCCCTTTGTGGGGATTTTGTCGTGGGCCTCGGAGATCGAGTTTTGGAATGTTCCTAGTCTCTCTGGACTCATCTTGATTCCGGGTACCCTATTTCTACCACTGCAACTCACTGAGGTAAGGGACTCTTTGAACGAAACTTCGTCCGTCCTGGCCTTCTTCCACAGTCGGCTGACCTACGGCGGTGTTGCGTCTATCGACTAGTTTGATTGTTGTCTTTAGAATTCATATATGATCCCACGAGTAGCTAGGGAAAAACAGTCCGCTACGGCAGAGTTCGGGGAGATATTATTGAATTTAATAAATATTTATAATTTTTGTGATTGTAAATAACTTTGTATTAAATTAGAAATAAATTAATAAAAAAATCATTATTTTGTAGATTACTCCAGTATACAAGAACATAATTTGGAATCGTCCGATGTGGAAAATCTTCTAATGGAAAATCCAACTCAACCATCTATAACTTTTGAAAATATTTATTACAATGTTGCCCCTACTACTTCTGATACTTTGCTTAATAATAACTACGTTTTTACTCAAATTATGCCCGAAAAACATGCAGCAGTTATAGAAGAAGAATTCGAAATGGCTAATCGACTGAAAGATTACGCCACTGTCACCACAGAAAACGTACCGCTTCAACTCTTATATAATATTGGTACAGAAAATATTGAAAATGTCAAAGAAAACGAAACTCTAATCAATACTCGCGACGAATTGGACGGGAACACGGTCATTTCCGAATTTCAAAATACAGGCATTACTTTAGACAATATAGATATTAAAAATTTGCCAAATTTAGATGAAGATACAACTGCAATGAACCAACAACCCAAAATTCGAATAATAGCAAATAAAAGAATATTACCTACTCAAAACGTGCAGAATTCACAAACTACATCTGACATTTTACTCGATGCAACAAACATTTTGTCAGAAGACAGTGGTAATCAATCTGATTGGATGGATTTGGTAAATAGTGCAGCTCAACTCGACATAGAAAAACAAAACGGTGCAACAAATGAATTGGACTCGTATCTCGTTCTAGATTTAAATGATGATATTAATTTAACGAATGCGAGTAATGCTGATTTGACTTTAAAAAAAGAAAATGCCACAATTCAAAATCTTTCCAGTTCTGAAAACATCGAAGTTCATCCAACATCGACGAATTGGAATAACAATAATCAGTCTAATTGTTGTGGAAACCCAGCAGCTTGTTATAATAACAACAATAATAATTATGAAGGTGTTTCACCAAATTTGGCCAATAACATTGTACCTTCAGCTTCAATTCAGTTGAACAGTCTACCAGTTCCATCGGAGAATTTAAGTAATATTTTAAATATCGCACAGACTCAATTATTGGGCTGCAAAACGAAGCCAAATTCGGCTCATACTTGTGCAGATAAAGGAGAGCAATGTTGTGTTGTAGTCTGCCTGAAAACCATCGATCAGTTGAAGCAAATGTTATCTTTAGCGGCTGGTTGTAACAATTTTCAGACTCTTTCACTGGGCTGCGTGAAGAGTAGCAATTGCGGAGTGTGATATTTTCATAGAGTTTTTCTACGGGTGCTAAAACTAATAGTCACATAAGCATATCTATATGTATGAGATAAAAAAATGCCAAATAATTATCTTCTTTGTTTTTTTATTTATTGTTTTAAATTATAGTATTATATATTTTATTTGAAAATATACTCTTTTGAACATTTGTTTTTAATTTTAAATTCTGCCACGGCTGTTTTTTGTTTACTGCTGACGATAGACCTTGCTTAATTTTTTATTGTATACGAAAGAAGATAAAGAAACAATTTATTATGTTTCAATAATATACAAAAATCTGATGTGTCCAACACATGAGTTTCTTATCTAGTTATTACAAGCATATAACCTATTCTATCACCCCCTGTAAATGTTTAGAGGATGAAATGAATACATAGATTTTCCACACACATCTTACTCGAAACATTTTTTTTGTCTTAGGCGTAATGCAAATTTGGACTTTTTATAAACTGCCTAGGCATTTTACGAAAAGCCGGCAAAACGCGAGCATAAAATGCATTTTTTGTTTTGCCGACACCAATTCAAGCAAACTAATAAAATGCTGGCAAAACAAGAACAGAAGAATATATATCACGTTGTGATTGATTATTATTTTTAGGCATTTTACAATTTGCCGAAAACAGTGCCGTCAAAATGTGAAAATAAAGTCGAAAATACTACTAAATATAAATAATATGGCTGCAGTAAATCTTTTTATTAAGAAAACAGTTAACACTTCATGATATAAAAATATACCTGTTAACTACCTAACACAAATATGAAACTGCAAATAAAAAATAAATCCTTTGAAAATAATAAAATATTATAATTTAACATTTAAGTGCTATTACTAATATAAAACTATAAAAATTGAAAACAAATTCTTTAAGAAGAGCATAAATTGTTATTTTTACAGCAAGCACATTTTTGGTATTGCACTGTTTACTACTAGCCTTACAGCTACATGTTAGCGGGCAAACAACATTTTGTGTGATTACTAACTATAGTACTGTAGATAAGAGCTGGGAGTGAGGGGAACTGTTGCGGCGCTTCTCTAGGCAGAACGATTTGAGTCGCCTTGAGTGTCTAGTGTGATCAGCTGTTGCTGTTGGTAATTACTATCGGTAATCACTTAATAATTAGTAAAATCTGACTTACATTTTTGAAAGCCTTGACCTCCGATCGTGACTAATATGCAACTGCTTTTCCGAGAGTAATTAGTCGATCAGGAACTTCATCTTCAAAACCTACTGAGGATTCTTGAATATCATTTATAGAAAATAAAATTTTAAGAATTCTTTTAGAGGTACCTACTTTGTAGAGCACGGGTAGTTTGAACTTGGTTTAACCACGAAGTCCTGGGACATGAAATTTTCTTTCAGGGATTTGTTCCTTCAGTCATTCCAAGTAGAAATAAGCAATTTTCAGCTCAAACCACTGGGCTATTTTTGAATGAGACCATTTTTCCGCAAATTATTTATTTCAAATGTTGAAAAAAAAAAGGTTCGCTATCCTGGTAGCTATTTTACTCAATTCAAAGTCTAGGCGCGAACGCAAACCATCGTGGATATCCACTAGTGTTATTTGATTCTGCTTACTAAGTATAGATGGCGATACCACTATCGCATCTACTCATGCTCGACCAGCCGTAATTGAGTTCGATCGAAATTTGTGTCCCTAATCACTCCATTAGAGACTGTAGTCGAAAATTTTCATTTATTGCTGAAGAGTCCTAATAAGAAGAACTTTCTCCTTTAGTGGGCAAAATCAAAGGCAGAGTGTTGAAAATATTTTGAGTGTTGAAAATATTTTTTATCTCTGCTATTTTCTTTCGACGTTATTCAATAATCATTGGTTACTTATGAACCTCTATTAAAGATACCCATAAAATATTTTGCTGAATATCCGAATATTTTCTATATCCTGGGATATAGACGGACATTTGGTTGGATATCCATATTGGATATATTGAATATCCACAAAATATATTCTGTGGATATCTCTGGGATTTCTTGTATTTTCTGGAAGATACCTATTAGATATTTTGCTGAATATCCATTAGGATATCTTCTATATTCTGGATATAGACGGACATTTGGATATTCATATTAGATCCACAGAATATTTCTGATATCCTGTGGATATATTGGATATCCACAAAAGATATTCTGTGGATATATCTGGGATTTGGTGTGTAATATACCCACCTAAGGTAGGAGAGCAAAATATATGGGGACACTCCCATGGGAGCGCTCCCATGACTTAGTGAATAGCTACCCTGACCGATTTCTGAATTCTAAGATGTTATTTACAGTTTTTTGGTAGACACTTTTTCAGATAAACAACCATATGAGATTGTTCTCCTTTTCTCTACAATTGATAAAAAAGTAGGTATTTAAAAAAAGTAACACCCTGTACAATAACAAGTAAACAAAATTAGGCATTCCAAACAAATGAATTACCAGTGGGCAGGTTTGGTATATGTAAGGGTGGCGACATATGGTGTATTCTATCTACTTTACTTAAAATCATGAATAATGGATTACATTTAAATATGTTATGTCAAACACAATAAAAGTAATATTTAAAAAACCCACCTATACATTTCTTCATAAATTGGCAGGCTTGGCGAGTACTACTTCGAATAAAAATAGCGTCCAAGTTGCAAGACTATGTCGCTACCCCCTAGAATATACAAGAATTTCCCACTGACACCTATTGTTTGACAGGTCGTTGGAATGCCTAATTAGGCATTCCAACAACCTGTCCAAATGGCTACCAGTGGGTAATGACAGTTTAGATATGGCAACCCTGTTGTCATGTTGTCATTAACAGGGTCAATGATACATATATAGTTATATAGATTGCTCAAAGCTGGTCGTTTACGAGCGGCCATATTGCCTGGCAAATATTTATTAATTTGGATCGGTTTAGCAAAAATGTGTTTTAAAACCAATTTTTAGCCTTTAGATATTTAAAAAAAAAATAATTGCTTACAGTTTTACTTCAAGGCATAAGCTTATGTCCATTTTGAAAAATATGGATGATCAATCTATGTAACTATCTATTTCATTGACCTTGTCAAATCACCAGGCCTACAGGGTTGCCATAATTTTGCCATATCATAACCCGTCAGAACCCACTGGTAGCCATTCAGTTTGGAATGCCTAATTGGACCATGTTTCCTACAAACTATTAGGCATTCCAAACAAATGAATTACCAGTGGGCAGGTTTGGTATATCTAAGGGTGGCGACATATGGTGTATTCTATCTACTTTACGTAAAATCATGAATAATGGATTACATTTAAATATTTTATGTCAAACACAATAAAAATAATATTTAAAAAACCCACCTATAGATTTTTTCATAAATTGGCAGGCTTGGCGAGTACTACTTCGAATAAAAATAGCGGCCAAGTTGCAAGATTATGTCGCTACCCCCCTTAGATATACAAGAATTTCCCACTGACACCTATTGTTGACATTTTCGATTTTCGATGAACTTTCGGCTTGTCAAATCCTCCGTGATGACGTATTTGCAGATGCTTAAATGAGACAGAACAAAATAATTAAGTAGGCTCTGGTTTTCCTATATTCGACCAATGAGAAAATTACATATTACAAAATGGCTATTGAAGAGTGAACAGTGAAAAAACATTTTTTAAGAAATAAAATTGTAATTTACGGTTTTTGTGTTAGAAATATGAAGAATCTGCTTTAATACAATTACTTATTAGGTAAGTGCATAGGTATAATTTAAAAAGCGAAAATCTCATTAACATCTTTGGACAGTCAGGCTTTGGCTAATGTTGTGTACCTACCTAGCTATACCAATTAAACATGCATTTTTTAGTAAGGAGATTTTCTGTATTGTGGTAAAACTCTTTTTATTTAATTTTCAATGTGTTATACCTAGGTAGGAATATACTCTTGCTTTTTCTTCTCTAATATAGGTTATTTGAATGAAAAATGTTTTTATCAAAATTCACCTATTTTGAATATAACAAAAAAGAAAATTTTTGCTCTGTTTCATACTTTTTTTTAGCATATTAAAAGCTAGACAGTGTTTAAAAATAAATAAATGTCAATTTCAACTAATTTTACGAGTCCTGTGTACCTACAAAACACAGTAGCTCTTGCTGCTAAAATTTTATGCTAGCCGAAGAGACAAATTGCAGTAAAAATTGTTGCTAAAAACGTTATTCCATGCCTAGCACTGTTTGTAAAATATTGTTGGTTACAATTTTATTCGGGACAGGTATTTAATTTTCCATTTTAAAAGATTGTCAATTAAATTGGATGACGGTGATAAGATTGAGCCGGTTTTATCAGCGCGCATGCCTGACGTAGCGCGGTATCCATTTTCTAAAACAAAACAATGCATGGGCGTAACATAGAACGAAAATATGAGTAAAATAAATTAAATTTTGATATTTAAATATTACGAATTGGCATTTTTTTTTCATTTAAGATCTTAATGATGCAATTTAATTATTAATGATTGCGATAATTATTTTTAGTGGCGATGACATTAAAATTGTTCAGGACATACGGGGTATTTTTAAATACAGGGTGATCCAGTTTATATACCAGTTGATAGTTTATAATGGTCTATTTTTGTAGCTTTTTGAGGCAAAAACTTTTTAAATAGGTTTTAATTAATATCTATAAAATATTTTGACCTATTTTAATAAAATTTTCACATTTTGTTGAAAACTTCGTAAAATGTCTTTCGAACGCAATACAGTTAATCCAGCAATTCCAGAGACGTGCTCACGGGGTACTTCGGTTAGTTTTCGTCACAAAAAAATATAGCCCAGTAGATTTTAATTTTTCATAATTTTTTCGAATAGAACAACTAAAATTACAATTTTTTTTAATTACTTTGTTTTTGATGAATACATTAAAACTAACATACCTATAAATAAACAAAGTATCTTTATTTTTCGATAAATTCTCAGCTGGTAAAATCCTGACAATATAAACTGGATCCTGTATACAGGAAACATGATAGATGATATGACAGGTGACAAAACAGGTGGTGTGACATATGACGTTATTTTAATGGTGGTTATGATCAG